TCATTAGCATCCCTTTTCCGGAAAAGGGTGCCAATGTAGACACAGCCCCAGTGTTTCATTTTGCCATCACAAAACACCAGTCCAAGCAAAGTCATCATCCAGCTAAAGCTCAGAAAAAGCACGAGACTAAAAACAGTCAAAAGTGACTAATAATTTAGGTCCCCAACTTGAGACTGATTCTCAGAAAGTACAAAGCAAAATCAGACTGTCAAATCGGGCACCTGATAACAGAGCTGCCCCAAAATCATCTGTCACTTTTGAAATTCTTAGCCTAAGAGTAAACAAGCTCAGCAGCCCAGATTTAGCTACAAAACACAAAAGCTTCCTCCGGAAAGAGAAAGAGCGTGCATGCAGAATCCTGATGGTCAGTGGTAGTCTGACAACTGTTAAAACTAAATTACAAACACTATTTCATCTGGGACACACAAACAATGGAAGAATATTTCAGCATAATCAAACATGTGCTCAAGTCACAAGAAGTTAATCAGAACCAGCTGGATTAAAATTATCACTCTCTTTCTAGATCCTCAAGACAATTTTGTTGTCCTGGAGAACACACCACCTTTGATGCCCCCTAAAAAGATGCAAATTTGGAAAGCAAAAAGAAATCAAAAGATAATTAAAATCATTATGTGCCCAATTCACTGAGGTCAACAGAAGCCTTCCATTGACTTCAGCTGGATAAGGCCTGTGTTAACCATACCAGATGTGTTGTAAAGACACCTTAGCAATCAAAAATATAAATACTTGTATCATTACAAATACTGTTCATATCTGAAATATGCGTAGAAATTTAAATAGCAATGTTTTTAACCATTTGATTACTATCTATTTGGTGATGGCTACTTAGTGGCCCATATGAAATGAATTTGTGGCTTCACTGAAGTCCCTAGTAGTCAGGCACTTGTTTAACAAACAAGACTCACATTTTTGGGGTGAGTCTACACTGTTATTTCGAGATAACTAGCGTTATTTCAAAATAACAATGCGAACGTCTACACAGCCATTCCATTACGGACAGCTTATTCCGAAATCTGTAAACTTAATTCCATGAGGAATAATACCTATAATAGCTATTTTGAAATAAGATGTGTATAGATGCTCCACTTCTGCTACTTAGAAACAGCACCTCAGCAAGGCCATTCTAATTATTTCTCCCCAGTGCCTCCTAGGGCTCTAAATCAATATAGCACCTCTACACTAGAGAAGCCTGCCTCGGACTAATTTTGAAGCTTCCCTACAGTGTAGATGTGCTATTTCAAAATAAGCTATTTATTTGGAATAAATATTTCAGAATAGCTTATTTAAAAATAAGTGTGCCATGTAGACATACTCTTTTACCCCTGTTGGCAGCCTCATCAGAACAGGCCAAGTCATGAGTGAGCTTGGCTATTGAATCACTCTGTCTTCACTTCAGCTGGTAGCATGAAACTAGTTTAGTTTGAGGAAGCTTCTCCTAACATGACCAGGAATTTAGTTATCAGGATTGTCCATCTGATATTTTCACAAGCAAAAAACAAACATCAACCAGTACTCTTAAGTGCTAATGTGCAGGTACACTAGAGTAGGCACTGAAAAAGTAGCAAAAGTTCAGTTAAAATCAAAACCAGTTGAAGTTTCTTTTTCTTACTGCAGATCAGCTGTACGGATGTTTACAAGAGGCAATGCTGCCATCAGCTATATTATTAATTATTAATACTTAATGGTAGTCATTGATTACTTTGACTATAACCTAAAATGTGCTCTACCTTGTCTTATACGATTTGAAAAAAAAACAAAACAAAACAGAAAAATCTTGTGTGCCCTGAATCTTCACTAAGTGTTATTTGTCCGCATTTCAGTTTCAAGTATGCAGAGAGATTTTCTGATAGCTTTGGGTCAAAATAGCCTTCTCTTTCTGTGTAGGTATTGATATGGTACCCATCACTGTAGTATCTGAATCCTGGCCCAGAGACAGGAAAATTCGCTTTCCAATTCTGTCTGATGGAAAATGCTCTTTGTCATCCCATTCCCTAACTTCTCAATGTTTTAGGTCCTAAATCCAATATCATATTCAAAATACATCAGATAGAGAAAAACTGGTGTCACAATCAGTAAATATAGCCACATAAAACAAAGGAAGGCTGCTACACATGACCCCATACTGCACACCTGATCCTGAATTCTTGGTTATCTTCTAGGCTGAGAGCTCTTTGATATATTCAAAAGATCGCTGCTTCTGCCATGCCCAATGATATGACTGTCTTTCCAGTGTTTTTGTTCAATAATTAACACACTTAGGGGCATTACTGTTTTATAATTTATTTGGATATATTGGTCTTGATTTTTCTCATAACAATTTAATTTAATCCTAAAGCTCTAACGGGCTATGTATGAAAAGTACTATGGTATCTTCACTGTATTGTCACCCTTTTGGAGGAGCTATTCTGTCTCAAGTATCGCATTTTCCCCTCTGTTCTGTGCACTGCTGAAATCTTCTGAACACTTGCACAATTCAAACAATGACAATGGTCTTTGTTGTATCTGACAGATTTTTCCGATATACCTGTCTAATCAGAGAGCTCTCACTTCTACTTGCTTTTCAAATGCACTTTCTTTTCAATCTAAGTCAGACTAACAGGGCCTATGTGCTTTGGGTGGATATTGTTACATATGGGCTAAATCCTACTGCCCTTACTCATACAAGGAGTCTCACGGACGACTACTCACAAGAGTAGAGCAAACAGGATTTGTTCCTTTATGTAACCATATGCAGACATATGCCGGTCAATTCTAACAGGGTGATGCAAAACATTTCCTGACAAAAATCTCCCTATATTGTCATCACTGATATGACATCTGTGTGTGACACTTTACAGTCAGAGAAATGAGCCAGGTTCCCTGCCCGAGGAGCTTACAGTTAAATTCATCCAGACAACATGACATAATGAATAAGTACAAGAAACTATGGAGAGTTGATAGAGGGGTGACAAGAACAGGAGAGGGTTAAAGTTGACAGGAGAGGAGGGTTTTGGGGACATGAGTGTTGTGGCTTAGATTTAGTCACTGGAGTTGTTATATGGCAAAGTTCCTGGGTACTGGTGTTTAAAAGTATCATGTTCTGTTTTATAAACTATACATGGTTAGCACAAATATGGCCAAGGGGAAGTACCTTAGCTTAATGGAGGATAATAGTTGAATGTAATAGGCTTTGAGGAGAGCTTGATTGAAGAGGGAAAGCAATAATACAGACACACATATGTAATACATATACACACATGGAAGGGGATTCGGTTATAGTTAGAATTTGTGAGTGATGAGCCATATGACAGTCAGGAGTCAGCAAAGATTTGGTGGGATGGAAAAATCTTGCGCTAAGACACACCACTGCTCACACGATCTGCATGTGCCTATCATCGTGAAGTATTATAAAAGCTGACACCATCAGCTCTCCAAAAGACAGATACTATAAATTAAGACCAGGGATTGGGAAATGCTGAAAGAGAAATTAAAGTAATAAACACTTAGAACCTACACCTCTGATATAACTACTCTCCTTGTCACAATACTAAAACTTCTATTGTGTGATTTAATTTCAGCATTAGTTCACTGTTTCTTTAAATTACTAACATCTTGTGTATAGTAATTTACCCACTAAGGGCCTGATCCTACAAATACTTATGCATACACTAAATTGGAAGCACACTGATTTTTAGTTTAATGGGACTACTCACATGAGTTAACAGTGTACATAGGGGTTTTCAGGATTGTGGCCTAAATCGTAATATGCAATTAAACAGAAACATTTCCTAAGAACATTTATTTTTTCCCCTTCAGTGAATCTAATGCAACACTGAGGCTGGGGGAGAGTCACAATTTAAATTGAACCTGAAAAATTGAAATACTTTCCCTTTAATACTGAATACAAGCTGATACACTATCACATGACCTTTACCGTAATTTCTATTAAAATCATTTCATGTCTGGTTGATTCTGCTATCCTGGCTCATTTGTATTGTTTACAACAAGTCATTGCACCCGGCAGTTAGTGGTGGCTGAATCCATGGTTACCAGTTTTTACATCCACTAGTTAAATGGAATGCAGCTCTTCTGTGAGTTTCATGGGGAAAGCTCTTAAGAAACCACAATCCAGCTATCAATCAGGCTAACCTGGGAGAAATTAATCTTATAAACATAAGTATTGTTGCATATTAAAAATTTATAGAAAGGGAGCTCAAGGCTTTTATTAGTTGTAGTTGCAAGAGGGGATGGGTTGAGATCTGACTTAGTGCATAGGAGACTTAGCTTCTATGGTCTACGTCTGACATTCATCCATGTTGTGCCCTCTCTAGCTTTCAAGGATAATAAAACTATCCTTTTTTTAAGCTTTTAAATCTTGAGCACTTATTTTACCAGGAATGTGCCTGGAATATAAATAGTGCTTAAACACAGGTCTAACCACACTGCAGTCCCAGCAAAGTAACTTAAACAGACACATACAAGATAGTAAAACACAGAATAGACAGCACTGAATAGAATTCAATTAACACAAAACAACAGTGGAATGTTCTTTACTAGTAAATTAAGCCTGCAAACTAATATGTTTTATTGCTTTTAAGGACTACATGAACTAATTCTCCTTGCCTTCTTATTTATTGTTAGTTGTGGGGTGGGGTTGCAAAAACAAACAAACAAACAAACTTATTTACAAGATGGAGACCAGACACATATTTATAATGCCTAATGCTATAAGAAAAGTTTTTTAGTGTTTGCTGGCTACAATAATTGTCCCATAAGATACATGTCAGCAACAAACAGTTAAATCAAACATATTACTAGCTCATCTACTGCAAAGTCACTGTATCAGAAGCCCGAATTGATTTGTTTCCTCAGAACGAATTGAAAATGAACGTAACAGAACGTCTGGAAAAAAATCCCCACTGCACTGCTAATCAGATATTGTATAATGGTTGATTGCAGCTTTGCGCTGTGCTATTGTTGCCTGAATCATACATACTTACAGGTTCTGGGTTCTTCCAAGAGTTTGGTGCAGTTTCAAGGACAAATGTCTTAAGGAAGTCTTTCTACTGTGCAGCAATGATCCTAGCTGTGATCTGATTACATGAGCAAAGTGCTAAATCTGACAATAGAAAGGAAACTTCCTGTGAGAAGAAGAAATCTTGGAAAGTCTCGGGGTTTAAAAGGCTGCTTAAATATGCTGGTTGATTTGCTCCCTAGTTGTGTATACACAGTAGCAGCTGATCTCTGTTTGCAGCCCTGCAGAAAGAAACCTTTACTGAAAACCAATGGCATCACATTTCACTGGAACTAGTGCCAGGCTCTGGAGAGCAAAGCAACCTTGGACAACTTCACACAATTAAAATAAGTGGGCTTGCTGCATGTCCAGGAGGACTTTTAAAACTGTGTATTCACTGTGTTACTTTTTACTAACAATGAGCTGAAATCCTGCAGTGAGCACAAGCAAAACTCCCATTCACTTCAATGGGGTTTTCTGAAGACTAAGGAGTGTAGAATTTGTCCAAGTATGTTTTCCTTTGCCTTGACTGTGGTCTTTTCGGACCATAAGGTGTCAGTTGTGCCCCAAAGCACTTATGCGTTGGAACAATTATAGCAGGTCCAGTACACAACCTGTGTTTGTCCTAAATTCATTCTGATCCTGTCTTGCATCAATCGTACACTATCCTTAGCTTTCTTTGAGATACAGAGCAAAAAAAAGGTTTTTTTTCTTCTTTCCCTCTCGTGCCCTATGTAAAACTCTCTGGAACGTTCCTAATAGAATAAAATCCTCTCATTCCCAAATCCCAAAACTTTGCAAGGACTCAGAAGCCTGTTTGAGAGCCAAACTGCAAAGCTGGCCACTATTTTTAAAGCAGGCTTAGCTAGATCCAAACACACCATAACTTTAGAAAGGAGAATGTTCAGGATCTTGATGTGGGTCACAATTTCTTAGTGATGTCCAAGAAATCAAAACTAGAAAACCAACATTTTGAAACAGTCTGCAGGAGCAATATGGACTTCTGCGCTAAGGAGTTACAACTCAAACTGAGCAACACACTATGCTGTGTCTACACTGGGCCACTTATTCCGGTAAATCAGCCGCTTTTCCGGAATAAGCTGCGAGCTGTCTACACTGGCCCTTGAATTTCCGGAAAAGCAACGACACTCTACTGTACAAAATCAGCCGCTATTCCGGAAAAACTATTCTGCTCCCGCTCGGGCATAAGTCCTTATTCCGGAACACTGTTCTGGAAAAGGGCCAGTGTAGACAGCCCAGTAGTCTTTTCCGGAAAAAAAGTCCCGATCGCGAAAATGGCGATCGGAACTCTTTTCCGGAAAAGCGCGTCTACATTGGCCACAGACGCTTTTCCGGAAAAAGGGCTTTTCCGGAAAAGCAGCCTGCCAATGTAGACGCTCCTTTTCCGAAAAACTGAAAAAGGAATAGTATTCCGTTTTAAGCAGTTCCGGAAATTCATGCCAGTGTAGACACAGCCTATGGGTAATTATTGTTATCATTAATCATGATTTTTACTGTAACATTTAGCCCTTGATAGTAATTGGAACACGAATACATTGCAAATAGGCTATGAGTGAACAGAATGGAAGGTTCTTTTTAAAAAAAGGGGTCGGTTTTCTCTTTCCTGGGCCCCAAACATGAAAATCAAAAGAAAATGTAATATGGTGCCATTTTAAATACAAGTATGGAGTCCAGTTAAGAAGAGCTATTGTGTATTTTGTTCTGTACGTTTGCAAGATAGTTTATAATCACGTAGATTATTCCCTTTCCCCCCTTAGTATAGTAGCTAGTAAAATATTGTGTTATTGCTCTGATATTCTGGATTTTGTTCCAAAGGGCAAAAACAAAACCTGACAGTGCAGCAAAAGGCCATGTTCAAGAAATCAAACAGCAAAATAATTGAACTCCTATGTATATACATGAGTGTGAACACTGTATATACTTCCATGTCAAAATTGGGTAGATGGTTTTACTGGCTTGAATTCCAGAGGTGCTCAGCACCTTTGAAAGCATCAGACTGTATGAGCATCAGACTGTATGGATTTTTTTTTAATCTATATGATTGATCGGTTAAGAAAGTAGTTACCTGTCCCAAATTACAACGGTAACAGACCCAGGTTGTATCAAGAGACCATCATTAACACCCAACATATACACCACATAGACTCCTCCACAACAGAAACTGACCAAATGTTTGTTGCCTTCCCAGAGTTTCCTGTAGGAGGAGAAGCGATTGTCAGCTCTTTGAGTGTCTCTGTGGGGACAATGAGTTAACATCTCCTGCCGGAGAGAGAATTCTCTTTTGCTCTGAAGTAAAAGAGTCAGTGTGGTGCTACTAACTGAGAACTCAAGAGTCAGACCTGGCTGTGTGACCTCGAACAAATCACTTTACCTCTCTGATCCTGCATCATTAAAGTCAAAAGGAGTTTTGCTATTGACTGCAGTGAGAGCAGAGGCGCTGTGCCTTAGTTTCTCCATTTGCTTAAAGGGAATAATGTTTGAGAAGAAAACAATGGACTGAAACTCACAGTTCAACTCTTGGTTTTGCCCACGTGTTGTGACATGGGCAAATCACTATGGGTATGTCTACACTACAACACTAATTCGAACTAACTTAGATCGAATTAGTTAATTCGAACTAAGCTAATTCGAACTAACTTAGATCGAATTAGTTAATTCGAACTAAGCTAATTCGAACTAACTTAGATCGAATTAGTTAATTCGAACTAAGCTAATTCGAACTAACTTAGATCGAATTAGTTAATTCGAACTAAGCTAATTCGAACTAACTTAGATCGAATTAGTTAATTCGAACTAAGCTAATTCGAACTAACTTAGATCGAATTAGTTAATTCGAACTAAGCTAATTCGAACTAACTTAGATCGAATTAGTTAATTCGAACTAAGCTAATTCGAACTAACTTAGATCGAATTAGTTAATTCGAACTAAGCTAATTCGAACTAACTTAGATCGAATTAGTTAATTCGAACTAAGCTAATTCGAACTAACTTAGATCGAATTAGTTAATTCGAACTAAGCTAATTCGAACTAACTTAGATCGAATTAGTTAATTCGAACTAAGCTAATTCGAACTAACTTAGATCGAATTAGTTAATTCGAACTAAGCTAATTCGAACTAACTTAGATCGAATTAGTTAATTCGAACTAAGCTAATTCGAACTAACTTAGATCGAATTAGTTAATTCGAACTAAGCTAATTCGAACTAACTTAGATCGAATTAGTTAATTCGAACTAAGCTAATTCGAACTAACTTAGATCGAATTAGTTAATTCGAACTAAGCTAATTCGAACTAACTTAGATCGAATTAGTTAATTCGAACTAAGCTAATTCGAACTAACTTAGATCGAATTAGTTAATTCGAACTAAGCTAATTCGAACTAACTTAGATCGAATTAGTTAATTCGAACTAAGCTAATTCGAACTAACTTAGATCGAATTAGTTAATTCGAACTAAGCTAATTCGAACTAACTTAGATCGAATTAGTTAATTCGAACTAAGCTAATTCGAACTAACTTAGATCGAATTAGTTAATTCGAACTAAGCTAATTCGAACTAACTTAGATCGAATTAGTTAATTCGAACTAAGCTAATTCGAACTAACTTAGATCGAATTAGTTAATTCGAACTAAGCTAATTCGAACTAACTTAGATCGAATTAGTTAATTCGAACTAAGCTAATTCGAACTAACTTAGATCGAATTAGTTAATTCGAACTAAGCTAATTCGAACTAACTTAGATCGAATTAGTTAATTCGAACTAAGCTAATTCGAACTAACTTAGATCGAATTAGTTAATTCGAACTAAGCTAATTCGAACTAACTTAGATCGAATTAGTTAATTCGAACTAAGCTAATTCGAACTAACTTAGATCGAATTAGTTAATTCGAACTAAGCTAATTCGAACTAACTTAGATCGAATTAGTTAATTCGAACTAAGCTAATTCGAACTAACTTAGATCGAATTAGTTAATTCGAACTAAGCTAATTCGAACTAACTTAGATCGAATTAGTTAATTCGAACTAAGCTAATTCGAACTAACTTAGATCGAATTAGTTAATTCGAACTAAGCTAATTCGAACTAACTTAGATCGAATTAGTTAATTCGAACTAAGCTAATTCGAACTAACTTAGATCGAATTAGTTAATTCGAACTAAGCTAATTCGAACTAACTTAGATCGAATTAGTTAATTCGAACTAAGCTAATTCGAACTAACTTAGATCGAATTAGTTAATTCGAACTAAGCTAATTCGAACTAACTTAGATCGAATTAGTTAATTCGAACTAAGCTAATTCGAACTAACTTAGATCGAATTAGTTAATTCGAACTAAGCTAATTCGAACTAACTTAGTTCGAATTAGTGCTGTAGTATAGACATACCCTATTGCTTCAGTTCCCAATATTCTTCTTAGATGTTATATTTTCATTTTTCATTTATTTTCATTTTTCTATATTTCATTTTTCATTTGTTTGAGACCTGTAGGCACTAATTTTGTCAATCACTAATAAAGCCTTTAGGAAGATAAGGATTTGAGTGAGTCGAGATTACTGTCCCAATACCTTTATGTGCAAAAGTCCTTATTCACAAAGACTGGCCTTCCTGCTTTCTGCACAAAGCCCAGTAGGCTAGATGTAAGCAGTTGTCCTACTCAAAAATGAGTGGGAATGATCCAATCCACCCCACAAACTGGGGGAATGTCATAGAGTTTAGAACATCCAGCCAAGATTAGCACCCGCTCTTTGTATCTCCCATGTGGGGTTTCCCAGCCCCTGCATCTGTGTAAATGCAGATCCAGAG